CTTACGCTACATTTTTGGTAGGTATACAATTTTTATTTTTAATACTGAAAATAAAAAACTTTTAAGTTGATAAAAAAATTTCTGAAACATTCAATAATAGCAAATTCTTAAATCTTATTTTGAGAGAAATTTATATGGTAAAAAAATATGTTTAAGTCAAATGGTTGATTTTTTTAAAAATGTTTAAATACAATGTTCTCGTTAAGTAAATTACGATCTAGTTTATGTTATAAACATAATAATTTCAAAAAATATAAATTTTAGGTATTTAAAAATGTTCAAATAAAATGTTTTTAAATAAAATTGTATACGTTTCTAACATAAACTAGATCGTAATTTACTTAACGAGAATATTGATATTTAAAAACATTTTAAAAATCAGCCATTTGACTTTAACAAATTGTTTTACCATATAAATTTCTATCAAAAAAAGATTTACAAATCRGCTATATTGAATGTTTCGGAAATTTATTTTATCAATTATTTAAAATTTTAAAACAATGGTGGGAGAGGCTACTGTACTAATCGCGCCTATGTGCCTAACAATATTTATTAATTATATAATGATAAATACTAACCTTTCAAATATACTTAAGTTAAAACTAATTTTGTAAAAAAAATATAGAAAAACAAAATTAATTAAAAAGATCTTAGAAGTCAAAAAGTTTCTAATATAAAGTAGCTAAAAATGCAAGATAAATTTCGAATATTTCATTCTATGTAATATTATAGTRAAGGGTGCAATTACGGTGGCGCTATATCCCCCTTCCGATTTTTTTATTGCTTATAACGTCAATCTTGTCTGAACACGAACAGATAAACAAAACCACAATGACAATAGGATCTTGATATGCCAATCCTAATTTAATCAGTCCAGTTCATTTCGTCACTTAACAACCGTTTTGATTTTAAAAACAAAGATTGCCCCAAAAACTATATTATACAGAGTGAATAAAAAAAAAKCCCATTTGGAGCATATATCCCTTTTTATTGCCTCCTCCTCCTTTCGCAGGCCACTGTTTATCAGTATACCTACCTAACTCTGGTACAATTTAGCTACAATGCAAATTTGAAGTTAAGTTTATAATTTAAAATCTATATTCTACTCACTATCTCRTTTTCATCTGAAATCTGAACCTTGATCACAAAATGAATACGTGTATTAAACATCCTTATTAATTTGATTAATTTTTTTTTTATTGTTACAGCATCAACATCAATATTATTAGAATTGATTAATTATATATGAGAAGCTATTGTTTTACYAAATAATAATGTAAATTCCCTTCAACCATAATGATCTAATAACAATTGAATGCAATTGTTATATAATTTTCTTTTTTGTCTATACAAATTAAAATAATTATCTTTCCATTACATATAATACAATATAAGATTTAGCATATAGATAAAAATAATATGTAGGTACAACCGTTCATTGAATATTTCTCAAACTCGTAGGTATAATGTCACACACACACATAATGTATCGACACTATCGACGACATTATACAGYGTGAATTGAGAAAAAATTATAAGGGGGGTATAACAGCAAAAAAAGTTTACGTTCCTGAATATTAAAATGCATTATTGATTAGGATATAATTAGAAGGGGCAC